TTGAGTCAAATTCTTACATTTAATCAGGGAATTAGAATAATAAGACATTTGGGCTGTTACCAAGCAAATGAAATCAACACAGAAGCTGCATCTGAAGTGGCATTTAGATGTATTTACACACTGTTTAATGCAAGACATGAATGCATTTAACCTGCAATTACAAATGCATAAATGATGTTTTGATATATTAAACATAAAACATTGAATACTGATATTTGAAATGATTTAAAACATGAAAAAAAATCTAAATGTGAAATTAAAACCGCCAATAGGTAAAACCGCCAAAATAGGCAAATTTCGATTGAACCGAATCATTTAAACAGTTGATGAACGAAACAACGAAACACCGTCATGTTGCTCAGAGACGCAAGACTGTACTGTGGCTGTGTTTGGAATGATTTTTGTTGGAGCAAAAACGCAAAAACAGGCAATATGGTGTCTAAAACGTAAGTCTCTTAATTAACTTATTGTTTATTGAATTGTTGTAAAAAATCAATGTCACATTTGTAATCATGGTAATTTTGGGAGAAAAACGGCACTCTTCATGTGAAATTGAATAACTATATGAAGTAGTATATATATATATACTTTCTGCCTCCATGTTTGGAATTTGTCATCATTCTAAATGCATTGTAATCGACTGAATCATGCAGCGAAAGAACGCACTCTAAATGTGCACGCGCACTAGTCTAGACTTCACGTAGTGTACGCGTGCACTCTGTAGCGGTGTTTTGAATGGTTTTTGCAAAATACTCGATAATGTCAAATCGCACACCGTTAAAACAACAATTACGATATTATCGCAAACTATATATATCGCACACCCCTAGTAACAATACAGTAATACACTATTAAAATGTAAAATAACTGTTTTCTATTTCAGTACATTAAAAAATTTTAATTTATTCCTGTGTTGTGTCACTTGAACCTTCAGAAATGACTCTGATATGATATAATTATATAAAGAAATATCATTAACATGGCTGAAAACAGTTGTGCTGCTTAATTATTTAAACCGTGATACATTTTATTTCAGGATTCAGAAAGTTACAAAATTTCTTTAAATAGGTATACTACATTATAAATGTCTTTAATCTCGAACAGTGTCACTTTTGATCAATTCAGCGCTTCCTTGCTGAATTAAAGTAAAAAAAAAAAAAAATGGTAATGTATTTAAATTCTATACACAAATGCTAAATAAAACACTAAATTTAGAAAAAGTTTGTGTTAAGGATAAAAGGCGCAAGCAAATGTTTTGTTACTTACCCCCCCCCCCCCCAAAAAAAAAATTAAAGTTTTTTTTTTTACTTTAAATTTAACAAAACACTAAATTTAGAAAAAGTTTTTGTTAAGGAAAAAAGGCGCAAGCAAATGTTTTTTTACTTACCCCCCCCCCCACCAAAAAAAAAACTGAATGTTTATTATTTACGTTTAAATATACAATTTATGCTAGTTACAAGAAAAATCTTCAAACGTTTATGATTTCTTTGTTGAATAGTAACTTCAACTGAAGTTGCGAGCTGCTTACAAACTTAAGTTGTACAGTAGTAGTTTTTAATCCCCTAGTGAGCCTACATTCCAATTAAAGTAAGGCTTTATGAATAGTGCAACCCTGCCGTGCTCACCGTCCTATGTCATTTACATATCAGGGACTAGACCTATATTATCTATTGGAATCCTGAATTTGTTTAATAAAATGCTCTATTGGCCATTTGTGTCTTTAATATTTGAGTTATGTATGTAGTAACCATTTTATAAAGCAAGAAAACACTCCGGGCTGTACTGTTTTGTGAATATAGTCACTCTGCTACACATTATGCCAACAAAGTCATTTAGCTGTTGCTATTTTCACAGCATAGCTTGACCTCACGTACCTAATTGGTGATTTAATGATGGACTTGATCAGGGTGCATCAACGAAGAGTGTTAGGAATAAATTAGAGGTGGTAATGGCGTATGATTATAAAACAGTAGACTCGTCATTGATGGCTTCAACTTCTCCTGCATCTTGAGTAAGATTGATCTGGAAACTTCCAACAGTGTTCCACTACAGATTCTTCAGGCATACCTTAATGGTACACAAACTCTAAACTACAGCAACTCAGATTTGACAATATAGTTGTCTAGTCGGAGAAAATGTGTGTGTGTGACAGCAGAGCACTCTGGCATGACTGCTGACGCTTAAAATGTTCATTTATAGTGGCCTCCCAGGCTTTCTCAATTTGGTCACATTTTCTGTAAGTGCTGCTTCAATTGGCCTGAATTTGGCAGTGACATGAGAAGATTAGCTTGGATGGCTCTCAGTCTTTCTGGCAAAGATGAGACACTTGAGAGAAAACCTGACCCCCCCTCCCTCCCCCTCATATCAGTCGATGGCACGTTGCCCTGAATCTCTCCATTTACTGAACCGCTCAACCTTATGATTGCTATTTGTATTTCAGTCTGCTCAGGCATAATAGTCATATAAATGTGTTCACGCAGACTACCGTACGTTGGAAATCAATGCTATTGCTGTTCTTTATTTTAACGTGCCGATACTCCTCTCTACAGGTGGCGGCTATGGACCCTATGGCCTTGAAGCGTTCTCAGATGTATGTGATGGGCAACAGTCCCTACTCTCAGGCAGGTGGAACTTATCCGGGACAGCCATATGGATCACCCGCTCCTCAGCGATACCCAATAGGAATGCAGGGGCGTGGCCAAGTGGGCATGGGAGGGATGCAGTACCCTCAGCAACAGGTAGAACTAATGATTTTCAGTGCTGCAGAAAAAGTTGGAAGTTGATTTCCATGTGAAAAGCTTTGCAGATACCATCATGGAAAGGTGATTTTACATGGTTGATAGCTCGCAGGAAAGCGGCATATTTTTGGTTTTTGGCCATGCATGACCCTCGTAATGTCATGTGCTTGATGCTTCAGTCCGTAGAGGTCAGTGCATTGGGAAATGTTGACACGAATTATGTGAAAGAGTCTTTAGCCTCATTCAGACTGTCAGCCCAAATCCAATTTTTGTGCCAATCCGATTGAAATCCGATCATATTTAGATAGTCTGAACGGCAACAAACTACATGAAATCTGATTTTTGCAAATCCGTTTCGGATATGTGGTTTGGAACCCTATTCAAATCGCATTCCTGGAAATCCGTTTCAGTCTGACCGGTCAGATCGGATTTAGCGTAGCTTTTTCACGCCCTCATGCCACGTGAAACGGAAACACGTCAGACGTTTTTTGCAGAAAACATGCCAGAAACAAGCTTGTGTCGTTGCGAAGTGCAAGTCAAGCGGAAAAACACAATATACTGCTAATATACGCAGCTCTTTGAGTTTTGAAAGTAGCAGAGACGGCGGCACGGAATAAAGCTGCACATTCCAGCTTCCTGCGTTTCTGCCGTAGCCTCACAAGACGAAATGTCGTAAGACAACATCTGTATCGCAAACTGTATTGTTGTTACTGTTGTTTTTAGCGTAGGCATCGTCAGATCGGATTTAGCGTAGCTTTTTCACGCCCTCATGCCACGTGAAACGGAAACACGTCAGACGTTTTTTGCAGAAAACATGCCAGAAACAAGCTTGTGTCGTTGCGAAGTGCAAGTCAAGCGGAAAAACACAATATACTGCTAATATACGCAGCTCTTTGAGTTTTGAAAGTAGCAGAGACGGCGGCACGGAATAAAGGTGCACATTCCAGCTTCCTGCGTTTCTGCCGTAGCCTCACAAGACGAAATGTCGTAAGACAACATCTGTATTGCAAACTGTATTGTTGTTACTGTTGTTTTTAGCGTAGGCATAACAACGCAACGGCATTACCATAGAAACCAATGCACATTCTGTAAAAAAAAAAGAGCACTTATGGACACACAAATCGGATATGAACAGTTGCGATACACTGTGTGGACAGTCAGTTATTCAAATCAAATTCCATCCAGATATGCACAAAATCGGATTTGGGCTGACAGTCTGAACGAGGCTTTAGTTATCATTTTAATGCACAGTGAATCACTTATAACCAGGCTGTGCCACAGATTTCACAGAATTCAAAAACATCTACACTTCTGATGGGCGCCTTGGATGTTCGGTTATAAAAGACCCCATGAATTTCTTGATGGGTGCAGTTTTTAGTCCTGTGTTGACAGATTTTCTATTGAAACCGGAAGTTGGGAGCGACATTAGTTTACATCGCATTCGACTTTAGTACACGTCACATTCTTGAACCTGTGATTTGCTATTTCTAGTCAGAGGCGTTTAGTATTAGTGGGAGGGATATACTTATAGATAGCAACAGCCACGTTCTGGAAGTAAACATTTCTTACATTTTCTCCATAGGGAAATTGATTTTAAACTACAACTTATAAACCTTTAAAGGGCTCATCGGATGAAAAATCTGACTTTTTCCGTGCTATAATTGAGTGTCCGGTGCATCTACCAACTCGGAAAATGTGAAAAAGAAGAACCCAGTAAGTTTGGTTTTGTAAGCCTTTCTCTGCAAGCTTGTGAGAAAATGAGCCGATCAGATTTCTCTCCCCTTCTGACGTAGGAAGGGGTTCTTATTATAATATTACCGCCCATGGCCGCTGACTGACACCGCCGTATTAGCAGAGACCCCACCCTGAGTGAGCCGCACACAATCCGCCATGTTTATATTCATGCTAGTGCATTTAAAAGCTGCATTCAAGGTAGAAATGTCTTCTTATTAAAGCTATAGAAGTTATTCAGTCAAGAGCAGTGAGTGATTTTCTGTTTTTATTTTATTGTTTGGGTCATATAACATCGCAGACAGCAGTATAGGTACTGCATATTACGCTGCTGTCACTTCATACACAGATCTAATATAAACATGCGATTTCTTTTAGTGCTGGGCGGTATACCTGTTCATACCGAATACCGGTGTTTATTTTTGTTATGATATGAATTTTTTAAATACCGCAATACGGTATGTATGTCGCTTAAACAACATTCGGAACGCGACACTGTTTGAAAGGGGTCTCTTTTCACTGTTGCACTGTGGTGAGGGAACAGCTGTATGAGTTGCTAAGCGTGAAAGTTCCGAAACTGAAGCTGTAGAACTAATAGAACATGATGACACAGAAGAACTCATCCACAATATCCACATTGACCGCCACAAATATCCACCGCCCCCTGCCATCAGCTCCCGCGTCTCACACACACGAGAGCGACTTTAGCACTAGATTTAGCAACTTTCAGACCCTTCTAGCAGCTTTTTTCCATAGAGATGCATGAGACAAAAAAGTAATATAGCCAAAACAACCGCATAGCTGCTTTTTAGTGTAGATGCATGTTGATTTTATCAGACGATGCCGCGATTATAAATGAGAGTGACTCCTGGTTAACATGGATTAAAAGAGGTCGTGTTTAGTCACTATTTAATGTGGTATTTTTTGACAATATTCTCTCATCATGACAGTAAAATAGGGCATTCTAAGTCAATATACTGCAGTATTTCCTCTCTCAATCAGTAGAAAATATGGTTAACACCCGGTCATGCATGAAAAAAAAAAACGTCATGTACCGTGAATCCGGTATAATTTTGAAAAATACCGTGACATAAATTTTTGGTCATACCGCCCAGCACTACTTTCTTTCTCAGCTGTTTTCCTTTACAGACATAACTGACTGTTTTTGTAGTGTGTTTTAACATAACCTTGTATGTATTTGTCAGTTTAAGCGCCAATAAGACATGAAAGAGAACTTCGTTTAGTACTCACATGCCGTGTGACAGCCACTTTCTGTGCGCTCAGAAAACACTATATCAGAAGTTAAAAACTGTTATGTGTTTAAAACACATGATTCCAGCGTGATATACAAGATAATCAAAACCAAACAGATGTTTTTTGGCAGAGTATTTGAGGTACCAGCTGTAAAGGCACAGCCTTATTCTGGAAAAGGGGGTGGGGAGCAGCAGCTCATTTGCATTTAAAGAGGCATGCATGAAAACAGTGCGTTTCTGTGTCCACTCAAAATAGGCATTTTCAAAATGATATAATAAATGATCCGTGGGGTATTTTGAGCTGAAACTTCACAGACACATTCCCCAGAATGGAATGTGGTGTCCCCAGACACCTGGGACTTATATTACATCTTGTAAAAAGGGGCATAATAGGTGCCCTTTGAAGACAAATGTGAGCTGCAAGTGTTTAATTGTTGGTATATGCTTTTGTTGAAGCCATCAATTTGCATTATTGCAACTTTACGTCAAAAGAACTGTTTAGTGCTTGCCTACTCCCGTGAAGCACTGTGAACGTGATTGTCAGTTTCCCTTTGCTCTTAACCAATTTAAATTAAAAAAAAAAATCCTCTCAAAATACGTACATTTGTATATATATGCATATTTTGCACAAAAAAAAAAAATTATAATATGTTGCTTCTATATACAATAAACATCTTTAAAAGGTTTTATATTTATTTGTCCTTTTTTAATTCAATTGTCATTTGCAGTGCTTCATGGGATTGATTCCTACATTAAAGGGTTAGTTCACCCAAAAATGAAAATTCTGTCGTTAATTACTCACCCTCATGTCGTTTCAAACCCGTAAGACCTTTGTTCATCTTCGGAACACAAATTAAGATATTTCTGACCCTGCATAGACAGCAATGCAACTGAGGGTCAGACAGCTCTCAGATTCCATCAAAAATATCTTAATTTGTGTTCCGAAGATGAACGAAGGTCTTACGGGTTTGAAACGACATGAGGGTGAGTAATTAATGACAGAATTTTCATGTTTGGGTGAACTAACCCTTTAAAGCTGTTAAGTACACAGCCTTGCACCTTATACTGATTTTCAAAGTTTTTGCTTCAAATCAAAATTAGTAATGTTGTGATTCACCTTATGATTGGTTGGTTTGGGTCATGGCTTATAACTCTCCCTATGGGAAAAATGAACAGGAAAAATACTTCTGGATCAAGGGCTGCTGAAAAAGTGGACTCTATTCTAGACAGCATTCGATTGGACAAAATTGTCAAAAATGGATATTCATGTGTACGAGATGAGTCGTCAGCTTTCATATCATGTTTTGAAATCATGGGGGCTTTTTAAAAATCTCAATTTGCTTTCAGATACCTAAAAGTGTTATACTCCCAGCTCCATTTAACACATTTCAACACTTTTAAATCCATTTTGCAGAATTCCACGCATTTTCCTCACAATCGGCACAGAAGATGCTTGCGTGGGCCTAGTTATGTTGCTTGTCTGATGTGAAGTGCTCACTTTTTGCCATGCCAGAATGTTTTTACCCACCCCAGCTGGCTGCCACACGGGGGACTATCCTGCTACGATATATCTACTTTTCTAAGCACATCTACCTTAGACTATCAGAATTAGCAACACTGACTCATAGCTCTCAAACAGAGATAGCAGCGGTGCTCTTCATGCTGTTGAGTCCACAGGAAACTGAAGTGTCCCACAGGCTGGCAGTCTGAACAGTGACAGCCTCAGGGGAAACACAGAGTGTGGTGCAGAAGGAACGACTCTGTTGTGCCTGTCAGCATGGAGCGACAGTACTCCCAGTGTACCAGAGATGTTGACAGTCTAATGCGCCACGTGTCTGTCAGAATAGCTTGGCAGGCAGTCTGCTTGGGCTGGGCCGTCCTATTCTGGGTACAGCCTGCCCTACTAAAATTAGACTCGAAAGCTGGACTGAGTTAAGTTCAGTGCCACTGCCTCTGAAATGACTGTTCTGCTGATGTATGGTCGCATGGGTGGGACAAAAGAAAATGAAACCAGTA